AGGCTGTGATCTTCATCATTCAGGTTGTGATCTTCATCATTAATCCTTCATCACTCAAGCTTTGTTTTCAACACCTTGAGTTTAAAAAATCTGTCTTTCTTCTGTTTGTCTTTTTAAAATCAGTGTAGCTGCAGGCTCCTGACACCAACATCATCCTGTAGCGCCCCCTGGTGGACACAGCCTGACAGTACACCACACACTAAACTTACTTGATACCTTCTAACTAAAATGATCTCATGTCCACAAGTTGAAACCAACAAAAACCTGAAGCTTTATAAAACACCACGATAGTAGCATCAATGAATTGAGTCTGTTTCTGAAAGTGTTGCATCATTTAATCTTGACCACTGAAGTTTAAATGTTGGAATGTTTTAAGGAAAGTCAGGAGTTTCATTAATGTAATAAATAAAATGTAAATACTTCATGACCTAACCATTGGTTCATATGAAAAACTAAACTTTGGTTTTCCATATATGAGACCAGGGGCAATTAAATGTTGGATATGTCAGTGACATTGATAATTAGGCCTTTTTAATTTCAAACAGTCAGATTACATTTTATATATATCAATAATCTTTGATTCTTATTGAAGCATTAAAAGGTGTGCGGTTGCCAGCTTGTGTTGAATTCTCCTCCAGCACGACTCAGAGGAATAAATGGTTCCACAACAATGAGTCTGTCCAATATCACTTTATTGATGATGCTGGTTATTGATTGTTATAATAATTGATTTAAATGAAGAATCAGTGGGTGATTGAACCTGTGATCACAGTTTATCTGACGATTACAGACGAGACTAGAGGAACCTGTGGGCTCAATGGACACAAGATCAGTCTTTGGTCTGAGCCTCCAGGGTCCTGACAGTTTGTCCACAGGTTCAGATTCTGGGACCCTGGCATCAGGACTTCCAGAAGTTCGGGTTCTGCGCCATCCTTCTCTGGAAGTTTTCGTACCACCTGAGGACGCAAGTGGACGGGATGAAGGTCTCGGTTCGGTTCGGAGTCATCTGCTCCTGTGACACAGCGAAGGAGGAGCAGAAGTTGTAGAGACTGTCCAGCATCTTCTGGGTGAACTGGAGGAACGAGTCCACGGAGGACACGGCGGCGCTGGACACCGGGATCTCCTGAGCCAGCTGCTCCAGAGGCTCCACCGACACCCCGACCTGAGCCACGGAGGGGGCCGCGGAGGAGGCGGCCATGGAGCCGAAGGGCTGCGGCCCGGTGCCGCGGTCCCCGGGTTTCAGGCCCGAGATCTTGAAGATGGCGCTGGGTTTGTCGTTGGTGATGAAGCCGAGCAGCTGCCACACCGGGCCGCCGCCCCCCGGGTCCGGGAAGGAGAAATAGACGGCGCCGCCCATCCCGGCGGGGAACGGCACGGTGCCCAGCATGAAGACCACCACGTGGTTCACGTTGTCAAAGTCCGGCAGGTTGAACACGAACTTGTCCGGAGCGACCTGCACCGCGTCGGTCTGCACCAGCCGACCCGCCACCAGGCACCCGAACATCCTGGAGCTCAGCCGGCGAACTGCACTTACCGCCGGGTCACTGACTTCACTGTGTCCGCTCAGAGGCGGAGCAGGAGCGGATCCCTCTGACAGAGAGAGACGGAGAAGGAGGAGGAGGACCGGAGGAAACTTCCAGAACCGACCGACATGTTGGATCCACAGCTGCTGCTCGACCATCGACTGAGAGGGCTGAGGATTTAACCCTTAGTTTGACTGACAGGCAAACGTGTGTCCGCTGTGCAGAGACTACACACAGTACACAGTACAGTACACAGTACAGTACACACACAGTACACACACAGTACACAGTACAGTACACAGTACAGTACACAGTACAGTACACAGTACAGTACACACACAGTACACAGTACAGTACACAGTACAGTACACACACAGTACAATTAGCACTACATCAAATCAATACACACAGTCACTATGTTGTTTTTATAAATCTCAGTAGAGATGTTTCATATTTTCAGAATGTCTTTTTCTCAGTGATTAGAGTATCAAATAATGAATAACTTTAAAACCCTGATGGTTTAGTTTAGTTTAGTTTAGTTTGTTGATGCTTCATGATATAAAAACCTTCTCGGTCCCTGATGAATAAATTCTGCCTGTGAGACTGAACCATAGACTGTATATAAAGACTAACTAACTAGACTTATACTAACCCTATAAGGACTGAGCTCACTGACGATGATTCGATAATTGATTTGTTTCTCATACAGTTAGCGGGAGGGCGACCGGAAGTCAGATATTAACAAAGTTAGAAAAATACACAGATGGAAAACTTCAATCTTTATATTTCAGTTTAAGACGCAGTGACGTAGTGTAACTGTCATACAGATATGGTTTAATTGATTTATTGTGTTGTGATTTAACGTCTCTTCCTCCAAAGTGTTTCCTGTTTTAAAGTAAAGAACTCTGACGCTACACAAATGAAATCCGGTCCAAGTGAACGTTGACTCGGATCATCACCGGGTCTCCGCGAATTCAAGACGGAAACACGTGACTTCCACTTCCCTTGTTATTGACCGGGTCACGTGACGTTCTGCTTCGTCCGGACGTGACGTATGTTGTGTTCGTTACCATGGAGACAGAGGACCTGTCTCCCGACAGTCGGACTCGTCACGTGCTTCAGGTGTTTCCTCACTTTTTACAGGTAAGTTAGAAAGAAAACAACTCGACTCTACTTCCGCCTGCGTCATTAAGTCGCGTGCGGTGAAATATTCGACCAATCAACACGTTGAAGTTTCTGAAAATACTCGATTACAAGCAACAGTCCTGCAAATACCGAAGTACTTCTACTCTATTACCTGTAACGGACCGTTAGTTACCTGAAGTCACACACAACACACTGAAAACATGACGTCAGAGGTTATTGTTGTTGTTCTTTTTATCATTTATTATCAGTAGTAGAAGTAGTAGAAGTACTATTTGTTTTTCTTCCGTACTAGTTTGTTGTGAACTATTTAAAATATCTTTTTTTAGATTTTTAAATCCTGAACTTTCCTGCAGTTTGTCTTTAACGTGTATGTTTTAACCTGGTGACATCATCATGAGACTTTTCTTCCTATCGTCAGTCTGCGACACAAACTCTTTTATTTGGTGTTGAGCTGTTGAAGTGGATTCAATCCATTGAAATCCTGATATTTCTCCTGCAGAACTTCACAGTGAGATATTGAACATCATGCCGAGGAAGGTAAAGAGAGGAGGAGGAGGAGGTAAAGGAGGAAGGACGGAGGAGGAGAAGCTTGTGTATATGCAGCAGAGAGCTCAGGCTGAGGAGGAGACGGCCAAGAAGAAAGAGGAGATACTCGCTCTGTTCCTCAAGGTAACGGAACCTTCTTCACATTCTACTGATTCATGTCTTAGTTCGGCTGCGTGGTGTCGATCTGAAGATGTTGATCTGATGAAATCATCTGATCACAGCAGATTGTTCATGTAACAGAAGAAACGGAGCTGATTCATAAAATCTGTTCTTAAAATCTTAATGATCAATTTACCAGAATGTGAATATTATGACCAGGTTGAAAAGTGAAACTGTTTTAAAAAGAAAATCCTTAAACTCTT